TGGTCGACAACGCTTTTAAGGACGTTTTTGTTCCAAAATCTAAAGTTTTTGCATGATTTCGATAAAACAAACCAAAAAATCGACAAATTTAGTCACTATTAAATTTTTTTGTATGTCTCGAACGTTGTAGAACATTTTTCAACTAGAAACGTAATTATATTGTAAGGTTTTGTTAAAAATGAGCCGAAAAATCACAGAATTTTGGCGAAAATGATGCGACTTTTGCTGTTTTTTCTAAAAGTTAGGAGATTTTTAACCTGAAAATTCCATTACTTTTCCATATCAAGTCAAAACTCACTAAATTGTGATGAAACAAGATTATATTAATCTGGTGAAAATAAATGTAAATTTGGCAACTTTTTCAACTATAATTTGGTAAATTTTATTTTTTTGAGCTGGAAACACTAACTTAAATAATGCATTGCCATTTTCTTTTTTAAAAGTAGACAAATTGTATTCTTTGTTGCCTAAAAATTCGATTTACCTTAATAAAGGGAGGTGGGTTAAATTTTGGGAAAAACTAAATCATTCTAAGAATGGAAGTCTTTTTGAATTACCTTGTATGAAAAAAAAAACCGATTAAATAAAATTTCTGTGCAATATTGTGACTTTTTTAAATAAAATTAAAAAAAAAACTCTTGTAATCTGGATAAGTGTTTAATTTTTGTTATGATTTCGTGTCTGCAGGGGTCGTCCTCAACCCACAATCAGTTACGTGTTAACCCAGAAGCAATTACTCTTCGCGAAATATATTAATCTAACCCACTTAAGCACCTGTTTTTATTTTGAAATTGAGACAAGTTTCGAATAGTAAAAGAGATATCATGTCCACCTGATGTGCGTGATTCTCGGAACTTCTCCTACTATTGACCCCCCTCAAACTCTGATTTTGCTTCAGCCACGGTCAACAAGGATTTCCCTTTCTCAGTTTCCTTATGCAGAGAAGTGAAACTGACGCAATGCTTTTGATCAAAGATAGCCCTGACCTGCTTCAACCATAATAATTCTTTCAAGTGTCGGCCACTCGGATATTGTTTATACAAGATAAACGGTGCTAATTTGGGTCTTTCAGTCTGATCCCAACACTAGGAAAATTTTCTTTAAAAATAGAGTAAAGCCGGGAGAGGTGGACTCTGGGACTTCGCCAGCCACCTCTTAGACTGTTTCGTAATTTAGAAAAAATAGTTATCAAAAATTTGGGGTTCGAACAAAAGTAAAATTAATAAAATTAATCAAAAATTTGTGTATAATAATTATTTTACTTTTCTTTAATATTCAATTTATTTCACACTCAATATTTCATTCTTTTCACTCTTCTTTCTTCAAAAATTCTTTTTTCCTTTAGTTATGTTCACAAAAATATTTTCAAAATTACATATTTAAAATATCTACTTTACAAAACAATATTATTGCAATAGTTTTATTCTCTCTATTTTCTCTACTCTCTATTCTCCCCCTCCCCACTTCCTATTTTCCTCTTTTTCTTTTCGTTTTCTTTCTTTTCTCTGTTCGCCTTGTTTTTTTACTGTTATTTTTAATATTATTTCAAACATGTTTCTTCTTTAATTTTTTTTAATTATTAGAGCATCAATATCAAAAGTTTGAAATTTAATTCCAGATCTTGAACATTTTTTTCTTGCAATATTTTTTTTCACTTCTTTCTTAGTGGAAACATGCCTACAATTTACATTAGAAAAAAATGCGCCAATTTGGGTCTTTCAGTCTGATCCCAACACCAGAAATATTCTCAAAATTTTATTTTAAGATAGGGTAAAGCCGAGAGAAGTGATCTCTGGGACTTCGCCAGCCACCTCGTAGACTGTTTCGTAATTTTAGAAAAAATAGTTATGAAAAATTTGGGGTTCGAACAAAAGTAAAATTAATAAAATTAATCAAAAAGTGTATAATAATTTTTTCCAATTTGCTTATTTAATTTTTTTGTTTTTCTTTAATATCCAATTTATTTCACACTCAATATTTCACTCTTCTTTCTTCAAAAATTCTTTTTTCCACAAAAATATTTTCAAAATTACATATTTAAAATATATCTCTTCTCTTTATTTTCTCTACTCTCGATTCTCCCCCTCACAACTTCATATTTTTCCTTCTTTTTTTTTGTTTTCTTTCTTTTCTCTGTTCGCTTTGCCTTTTTTACTGTTATTTTTAGTAATATCTCAAACATATTTCTTCTTCAATTTTTTTAAATTTTCCGAGCATCAATATCAAAAGTTTGAGATTCGATTCCAGATCCTGAGCTTTTTGTTCTTGCAATATTTTTTTTCACTTCTTTCTTAATGGAAACATGCCTACAATTTACATTAGAAAAAAAATGCGCTAAATACGGAGAAACAGACTATAAAAAATACAAAAGAGAATAAATGCATTAAGTATTAAAAAAATAGGGATGTGCAAAGCTACATTTATCATACAAAAATCAACATTTTTTTGAATTATAAAAAGAATTCGATGATGTACGTAAATAGATCCAGATTTGTGTCAAAGATAAAAAATATATTTTAAGAAAAAATAATAATTAGAAATATTAGTGGTCCATCTCACCCGCACAGTGTAAAAAACGATTTTTACACATAACTCTCTCTCATAATCTTAATGTAATAAATCTCAAAATTTATTCCAAATGAGACAACTTGACGGATTTTATCTCATTAAAGCAACTTCCTATCTGTGCCAGCTATCTGTTAGTAATTTAGAAAAAAAACGAAAATAATTATTCAAAGTTTACGAAAGCAAAATAAATAAAACTAAACAAAAAATGTAAATAATTAAAAATCCAATTGCCAAGCAATCCAATTTGTTTATTTTTTTTTTGTAAAATGTTTTTTTTAATATTCAT